ACACGCTCACACAGACACGCTCACGCTCACACAGACACACACACGCTCACACAGACACAGACACGCTCACACAGACACAGACACGCTCACACAGACACAGACACGCTCACACAGACACGCACACACACACACACATACACACACAGACAGACAGACAGAGACACACACACTCACACAGACAGACACTCACAGACAGAGACACACACACACACACACACACACATATATTTTCCAAAAGTGTCTCTCTTGGTTTTCTTCCCAGTGCTGTACTTCTGAACCATTAGGGATTTTTGTGGGTGTTCTGTAGATGGTTGCGCTTCAATTTAAGATAACTGCAAAAAAGGGATGCATTCAGGAACATTTTCAAAATCATTTGTAGGAGCATTTGGAAACCCATTTAGGATCATTCTGCACACGCCTTTAAAAATAAGGGCCAGGTTTCTGCTTGCCTGGCCAGAATAATGGCTTGTGATTCTGAACCCGTTTCTTGGATTTTTGTCGGTGTGAAAGTCTCTCTTACGCTTTTTGTAAAATGTAGACAGTTGGGTAAAACACATCGTCTTGTATATTTTCACTATTAATGTAATAGCTGTGTATTTGACAGGAGTGTTTGTGATTGGCTGCTCTTGTAGGTGTATCATCTGCGAGGATGAGGGCTGATGGCCAGTCCCCTCTCTATCTGCGGACTCCCATGAAAGCCCTGAGCCCCGTCAGCTCGATGTCTGCGCTGCGACAGCAGGCCAAAGGGCCAGCGAGTGCCCAGGGAGGGCTGAGGAGGGTGCAGTTGCCCGGTCCCAACAACGGGGCGTCATACTCCGCTGCTGTCGCCCGGCAAACGCCAGGAAGAGGCTTGACACCCGCCTCACCTTCATCCAGAGGCAGGCTTCCACAGACGCCCAGGAGGTGAGTCGAGATCAGCCAGGGGTGCGTTTCCCATACAGCGACGCAACTCGCTCATTAACCACGAACTAGCGAGTCACGACTGTTTCCCGAACACCGTCGCATCTCCGTCGTTTGAACCACATTAGTTCAACAACATAGGGCCATTGACTAATGACGTCTTAACTTCTGCTATTTATCCGATTAGACATCTCTAAGAGGCTGCTGTATTGAACATGGCACCTGATGACTAATTTACTAATGTTTTTAAAGAAGCCTCTTCTGCTCATCAAGGCTGCATTTATTTGATCAAAAATACAGAAGAAAACAGTAATCTTGCAAAATGTTGTTACAATATAAAATAATGGTTTCTATTTTAATATCCTTTAAAATATAATGTATTTCTGTGATGCGCAGCTGAATTTCCGTCATCATTACTCCAGTATAAAGCGTCACATGATCTTCAGAAATCAGTATAATATGCTGATTTATTATCAGAATTATCAACAGATGTGCTGCCAAATATTTTTCTGGAAACTGCGATTCTTTTTTCAGGAATCTTTGATGAATAAAAAGTTAAAAAGAACAGCATTTATTCAAAATATAAATCTTTTCGAACGATATAAATACTTGCTCTCACTTCTTAATTGAACACATCCTCGCTGAATAAAAGTTTTAATTTCTTTCATAAAAAGAAAGAATAAAAATGCACCGACCCCAAACTGTTGAACGGTAGTGTATATTGTTAGAAAAGATTTCTATTTTAAATAATTGCTCCTCTTTTTAACTTTTTATTCATCAAAGAATCCTGAAAAACGTATCACGGATTCCAAAACAATATGAAGCAGCAACAGTTTCCAGCTCTGATAATAAAGCAGCATATTATACTGATTTCTGAAGATCATGTGACACTGAAGACTGGAGTAATGATGCTGAAAATACAGCTGCGCATCACAGAAATACATTACAGTTTAATGTATATCAAAATAGAAAAACGTTATTTTACATCATAATAATATTTCACAATTATTTTTTTGTGTGTGTCGTACTGCTTGTTATCTTGCTGCTTGTGCCCAAGAGCAGAATGCATTGAAGTCCATGTCTTACTAACAAGAATCTGTGCTTCTAACCACAGCTCGAGACTTGTAGTTCAACCACGTACGTTTGCGAATGTTCGTTTGAACTACGGTTTCGGGAAACACCGACTCGTTGAACTATGTTGGTAACGATGCTTTTGGGAGACGCACCCCAGATAGACTGCGGTGGTAGCCTTTGAGGAAGCTCTGTGGGACTGAGGTCACTGTGTCTCCGCAGCAGATCACTGGGAATGACCAAACCGTGCGCTGCCGCCGCTGACGAGGCCTGGCAAGATGGCTGTTACTGAAGCCCTGAGAACTTCAGCTGCTTTCCTCAGAAACATCAACACAGGGTCCCTAAAACCGGAGCCTCCACAATGAGAGGAACAATGGATCGGACACCGTTTGCGTTCAAAGACGACAACACGTTGTAATATTTGCTTGATTTTCAGATAACATGCTTTTATTTTCATGAGAATGGGGGAGTACGAGAACTTGAGTAATGAAAAAGGTTTGATGTCCTGTAATACTGGCTGTCTTTGTGAAACAATGTGTGGAATTGAATTCCTAAATGCTGTGGAGTAACCTGCTGTTGGTTTTGCATGTCTATCTATTTTTAGAAATGAAGGATATATTATTTTTATTTGTGTGTGTGTGGTGGGGAAAAAAATGAGAATTTTTAATTTGATGAAGGAATCGTTGTATTCTGTAAAGAAGCAAGAAATGTGTGTTTTGTATCGTCGAGGCATAGCAATAGTTTTCACAAAAATTGACCTCAGAGAAGAACATTTTATTTTCATTTTTTTATTGTAATGGCGATCACAGCGGTGCATTACTACGGGTCCTTACTTCAGTGCTTGAAGCCACTACACTGTCACTCCAGCTGCAAGTGTGATGCCTGTGTAGTCTAGGTGTAAATATGCACTGAGCCAGTACAATTGGAAATATATGAGTATGCAATGATAATGGAGTGCCTCAGAAAACCAATAAATCAATTTCAGCAATACACCTAACAGAAGAGCCTTCTTATTCATTCCAGGAGCCTCCTTTGCTCGGCAAGTAACTGAAAGGGCTTTATCGTGTGATCAAAAGGAGCCCAAACACATTCGCAGAGCATGTTTTGTTTGGACGTGTAAACTGCATGCGCACAGCATCACGTTACCGTAATACGAGGTGACGTAAAAGCGTGCCGCGCGTTCGCTCTGCCCCGCCCTCTGCTGTTGTCAACGAGCATTCCGATTGGCTGAGGCTCAGAGACGAGTACTCTGATTGGCTGAGGCAACGAATCGAGCAGCGTGATTGGCCCAGGCCTGGAAAAGAGCGTTTGGGGATCCTCAATGTACAGGCCGCAGTAGTGCTACCGTTGGAAAATTAACGATAATAAATCACGACAGATTCGCGGGGATCCGAAACTCTTCAGCGCGCCGAAGGCGGTCGCGGAGCAGGTACAGCGTGTTGGATTGGTGCGGCAGGTGTGTGAAACGGTCGCCGGCGGCCCTGTCGGCCTGCGCGAGGAAGCGCCAAAACTAGTCCCCGCGGCCACCACGCGCCTCGCTTTTGCCGCAGAAAGCAGTCATGTACGAAGTAAATACAGAAAGTACATCTGGCCGTCGCGTTTTTGTTGTATTCCGGGCTGTGTTGTAGTCATTTACGTGTCGCCGTATTAGGTAGCTAACGCTATTAGCCGTTTAGCATGTAGTGTAATGGCGGAGGGCAAGATGGCGCAGTAACGAGGCTGCATTCGCGCGAGCTTTTAACTGCGTATAAACTGGGCTCTTCTGGTGTATTAAAGTGGATCTTACATCCTAATATAGTATTGTGTGTATGTTTCTAATTGTATCGAGTCGATGCAACGATAGTAACTTTGTTTCGAACGGAGCGGTAATGCTAAATTGCGAAGCCTACTATGGCGACGGCTGGCCTCATGAATATTAATAGGGTCGTGCAGACGTCACGTGGGTGCGTAAGGGCACGTAACTTAATATTCATATATTTCTCATGTTGTTGTTACTAAAGTCTAATGTAGACTTTACTGCACTTCATGCATAATGTTAATACAAGTGTTATAATGATAAGAATTAATTGTCACATGAACTTTCTAAATGACTAGAAGTTAAATCTTACTGTAGTCTTCAGATCTGGGTACTGTCTTACGTTTTAAAATCACAAAGAGAGTTTGGTCCCATCAGTCACGACTCATGCAGCTGTAAGGTTTTCTTATTCTTTTGTTTTTACTCTCAATCTTTACAACACGCATCACATTACGTATTTCACGGCACACTGGTTTTATGCGTGTTTGGCGCCACCTATTGTTGTGGGTGTATTAAATTGCAATTAAATTAAGCAGAAAACTTTGTAATTTTTTGGGGGAAAAACAACAATAATTTAAAGCAGTATTACACTTATTGTTTTTATGCTTAAACCCTTTTTCGTCTTTGACCCATGTACATTGGGTATGTGACGGTATCAGATTTTCACAATGCGTCCGAAAGCTCTAAAATGTTGCCTTCGGAGGCAGCTTTCCAAGGCATCGAGGCACGTCCGAATCCAAATTTTGCTTTACTTCCGGTCTCCAGAGGTACCTTCTTCTGATCCAATTTTGAAGGCAGCATAGATGTATCCTTCGATGCCTTTGATATCCCACAATCCTGTGCGTTCCATTCCGTGACGATTGCGCTGAAAAATAAATAGGGGTGCTCCGATTGATCGGCTACCGATCACTATCGGCCGATAGTTGCTTTGGGATGATTGATCGGCGGTCTCTGTAAAGCCGATCTCATGCTGATGACGCTGCCGTCAGAGGTTTGGCGCGACATGCAGCAGCACCGTCTCAGTCTCTGTCCGGCGCGGGTGAAATCATTATAATGCTGAAGGTGAGGTACAATTCATATTTCTTCATTAAATAACTTATAAAGTCTTTTCTGTGAGACATAATTTCACAAACGCAGGAATCACCGCACGCGCGCTCTTTCTCTCAAAATACGCAAATGGCTTCAAATCACATCGCGTCTGCACTATAAGTGAGCTGCACAGGTGACACAGGAGTTGTCACTTGCACAATCGAGGCAGTGTCGCATCGTCACTAAAGTTTATAAATTGCATTTCTTTTTAAAGGTTGATTGCAATTTCACTTTTTTAATGTTAGTTAGTGTGTAATGTTGCTGTTTGAGCATAAACAATATCTGCAAAAGTTGAAAGTTCAATGCAAACGTAGATATCGTCTTTTAAAATTCTGGCAGTTTAATGCCTACAAAAACGGCTTCCCGGGTTCGTGATGTGATAAACCCCGCCCTCGGGAAAAGTCAGCAAAGGGGGCGAGGCCATGCTGCGCTGCTTTAGAGAAGAGGAAGAGAAAACTAGAGGTGCACCTAAATATCTTTGGGTATAATATGTCACAGTTTAGTTTATTTTGCTATCCTCACTTACTTGAACTATAGTGTCCTGCACCCACTAGTACAATAAAATATCAAAAATGATATCTGGTGTCTGAATAATTTTTGGTTTGACCGTGCATCCAGACATATGTATTGTGATGTTCCTCTGTGCAGTTGCAGGGATGGGAGGCCTGGCCCACATTGACGGCGAGCACATTGTGGTGTCGGTGCCGGAGGCCGTGATGGTGTCGGATGAGGGCATCATGCTGGAGGCTGAGGTGGTGGAGGGGCCCGACATCTGTCATGAGGACGTCCTCACCACCGAGGGCGTGATCATGGCCGAGGTGGCCATCCAAGAGGCTCTGGGCGGCACGGCTGACCTGATCGAGGAGACGGTGCCCGATCAGGTGTTTGTGGCTGAGCTCATGTCTCCTCACGATCAGAGCCCGCTGGACCACGAGCTGGTGTCCGCAGAGGTCATGGTGACGGACACTGAGACGGTCATCCAGGCGTCTGACGTCACCATTAAAGCAGTCGATGAGGAGGAGGAGGAGGATGCGAAGAGCACTTCGGAGGACTACCTCATGATTTCCTGTGAGTTTGCTGTTACGTGGATTGATTGATCAGGGCTTGACGCTTACCATTTTCCCAAGGAGCACATGTGCTCCTCAGTTGAAAAATGTAGCAGCGCATTAAAAACATTTAGGGGAACAATGCAAATTTTTAACTTAATAAGGGGATATAAGGAGACATTTACAAGCACACTTATGTAATTTATCAGAATACAGAATGTACACAAGGTTTTTAAATAATGTTGCTTCCGATTTGTTTTAATGGGCTAGTTATGTAATTATTTATAGTCCTATTAAATTGTATGTGGGTCAATACGTTAAGTAATGACGTTAATAAATTAAATTGTAATAAATTTACAAAAGTGTTTATGTTCATAGAAAGCACATTAAATGTAAGTAAAGTGTCTACTTTTAAGGTTTCAAATACATTTTTGGAGAATAAAATGTAAAAATTTGGTTGAAATGTTACATTCTCATTCAGTGTAACACACTATTTTTGTAAAAATTCAAACAACATGCTTATTCTGACGTGTACGTATTAAAATATATAAAAGAATAAGGGAGCATATAAAAATTGTGTTTTAAATGAGTAAAAACAATCTTACTGACAAATGGGCAAAACCTAGGATAGTGGCACATTTAAAAAAATATAAAATTACAACTAATTAGTATTTGGGGTGAAAGTAATTATTCGTTTAATATGTCATAAATTGATTTTTGTTGTAAATATGCCTGACAAGATTGTTACACTGAATTACATTTTAGTGGGTCTCTTTTGTAAATCAGGGGAAAATTTATATTTATTTTTTGCTCAGAAAAACAAAATTGCAATTAAATTAAGCAGAAAACTTTGTAATTTTTTGGGGGAAAAACAACAATAATTTAAAGCAGTATTACACTTATTGTTTTTATGCTTAAACCCTTTTTCGTCTTTGACCCATGTACATTGGGTATGTGACGGTATCAGATTTTCACAATGCGTCCGAAAGCTCTAAAATGTTGCCTTCGGAGGCAGCTTTCCAAGGCATCGAGGCACGTCCGAATCCAAATTTTGCTTTACTTCCGGTCTCCAGAGGTACCTTCTTCTGATCCAATTTTGAAGGCAGCATAGATGTATCCTTCGATGCCTTTGATATCCCACAATCCTGTGCGTTCCATTCCGTGACGATTGCGCTGAAAAATAAATAGGGGTGCTCCGATTGATCGGCTACCGATCACTATCGGCCGATAGTTGCTTTGGGATGATTGATCGGCGGTCTCTGTAAAGCCGATCTCATGCTGATGACGCTGCCGTCAGAGGTTTGGCGCGACATGCAGCAGCACCGTCTCAGTCTCTGTCCGGCGCGGGTGAAATCATTATAATGCTGAAGGTGAGGTAATTTCTTCATTTCTTCATTAAATAACTTATAAAGTCTTTTCTGTGAGACATAATTTCACAAACGCAGGAATCACCGCACGCTCTCTCAAAATTTTAAAAATATTTGTGATATATTTTACGAGCAAATCACGAACAATCCCTGATTGTATTGGTTAATGTTTAGATTTACATATTTAAAGGGGTGGTTCATTGCGATTTCACTTTTATGTTAGTTAGTGTGTAATGTTGCTGTTTGAGCATAAACAATATCTGCAAAAGTTGAAAGTTCAATGCAAACGTAGATATCGTCTTTTAAAATTCTGGCAGTTTAATGCCTACAAAAACGGCTTCCCGGGTTCGTGATGTGATAAACCCCGCCCTCGGGAAAAGTCAGCAAAGGGGGCGAGGCCATGCTGCGCTGCTTTAGAGAAGAGGAAGAGAAAACTAGAGGTGCACCTAAATATCTGTTCATATATGAATCACGATTCTGTCTTCTAACGATTCTAATGGATTCACAAGTTTCAAAATCAATGTTCAAAAGCAGCGGTTCTTAATACTGTTCCTCGTGTCCCCTGCTCTGCAAACGCTCTGCATCTCTCTCTCTCTCTCTCTCTCTCACTCAATCTCTCATTCAGATCATCAGCTCAGCTCCAACAATGAACTGTTCCATTTATACACTTATTTTCACATAGCTAGGAGAAGCGGTATACATAGACGCTCGTGTGGTTGCTGTACTGTATTAAAGCTTTCATCAGGATAAAACTGTATATTAAAAGCTAGCAGAAGCAGTAGCATTTACAAATAACAGCGTATCTAAAAGTATGAGATGGCAACAATCAAAAAAACATACCATTAAAAGCCGTGCTTGCGCAGGTTCTGCGCGATCCTCTTCAATAATATCCTCTGCTTCTCAATCGGGCTCAAACTGATAAGCGATATTAACGACGCCGTTGTTTACAATACAACCGGAGCACATGCTGCTGAGCTGAGGGACGTTTAGACACGCTCTAGAGGCGGTTTAGCCAATCACAACACACTGGGCTAGCTAACCAATCAGAGCCCATCGCCTATTTCTGAGGGAGGGGCTTCATAAAAGCAGGAAATGATCAGCACGTTTATGGGAGAAGGGACAGAGCAGTGTGGAATCAATCTAAATTATGTGAAAAATAATGGTTTTTTTTTTTTAAACGAAGCATTAACACATGTTAGACTGCTCCCCGTAAACACAGTCGAGCCTAGAAAAAAAACAGTCAACCACCTCTTTAATTCTTGCCAGTGTTTAACCATTCAGCGCTCGTGCGCTCTCTTGGAGACCGTGTGCTCATGCACACAATGCCAGGTTGCAGTGCGAATGCGGTGCGTGTTTTTTCTGCGCTCATGTTAACGGATAAAAGCGTGCACACAGCACACGGTTGCAGTCCAGCAGTGCGTTCCAGTAGCGGTGCGTCTGCAGCAGTGCAGAGATCGTTTCTGTCTATGTCTGCTTCACTGCACGCGCTAAATTAAAGTAACAGCGCATTGTTTGCGGTAAGTATGAACATGGATTGACACGAAAATGTAGTAGTTAAACCATAAATGCATATAATTAAAGTCTCCTGTGTTTCACTGTCAACACATAGGCTATGACTTTTGGGCTAGGTTTAAAGGAAAAGAGCACTTTTAGATAAACAAGGCAATAATAGATGGCACTCGTGGAGGTAGGAAAACAAAGTTCTTTATGAGCCACAGGATTGCTTGTAATAAAGATTGAAATGCAAAAGAAAAAGCAGTAGAGCTGACAGTTATGGAAGCATATAGATAGTATTGTTACTGAAAAGTGTTATAACATAATCAAACATAATTCAAATAATTTATTTACTTTTCCAACAAAGGCAGGGTTTCTGCGGGGCATTGAAAATCATTAAAATTCATTAAATGACCTTTAATAACAGTCATTCAGGACTTCCGTTCAAAAACTCGGAAAGTCTTAATTAATTAAAAAAAAAAGTGTATAATTAATTTAAATTAATGTTTCTAATAAACACATTTATAGCAGAACCTCAAGTAAACTACATGTTATTTTGTTTAGTCATATACAGGTGGGAGCTTTTTCAATGTATTACTCGGAACGACTTACTAGCCTACAACACCTTTAAAAACTTATTCAGGGAAGAACAGCAGGATGCAGGAAATGTTTGAGTATTATTTTAGGTATAAAATATCATTATTGTAATGCTTGTAATGTCCATTTATAGTCTTTACACAGCAGCTTGGCTCCTTAAATGTTTAAAAACCAGCTAATTTCAAGACGCTGGCGTCACGTGGGTCACCCGCAGTGTAAGACGCTCAAAGCTCAAGACGTTCGGTTTGTTGGGCAGTCGCTCGAATGTTTGATTTCAGCATGGAATACGTTTCATATATTTCTCTGTTCATGCTCCACTTCATCTGCAGTGAATTCAACGATCTTATCAGATCTCCAGCTGCCATGTTTCAAACGATCCAAACGTAACACGCTTCCGCCAATCCTCGCCTTGAAGCACTGAGTGGGCGTGGTCAGCTTGGAATGCATTTTCAGATTGTATTTTGCTACAAGTATCCCACGGCATCATGATGAAAATGCAATCCTAAGTGTTCTAACTGTTAGTCTAAATGCATTTAGGACAAATAGCATTTAAATGATCATTATGCTACCATTTCTGCTTGGACATGTTACGCATGTCAAATCAATTTGTGTTATACATTTTCATTTCGCAACTTATAAAGCGTTCAAATGTGCATGCAATTTACATATTAAGACTACTATTGGAAATAGCAAATGTAAATTATATAATTTAATTTTACTTTTACTTTTGCAACAAACTTTGCACGTATGGGTAATGGAAAATGTAAATTTAAATACAGAAATATATTGCCATTTTGAATATTGCATTTTAAATAGAGTTTCACTACCTATATGCTTCCATAGACAGTTTATGTCAGTGGTAAGTTTTCATTTAGAATGTTTGTGATAATGAAGTAGTTTAAATGTTTTACCACTTGCTTGAGCAACTTAATATATAAATCTAGAAGTTAGTGCAAATGTAAAAAGCATTGAATAATGTGTTTCTTATATTTATTGCGTTTAAACACATCTATGAAAGATTGTATTAGCTACTGCACTGTGCAAAAAAAGAATCACAATGCTGAAAAAGCTTTTTAAGCAACAATGTTTGGATTTGAAATTAAAATAATGGATAAATGTTGTGTTTGTAGTAAACAGCCACGGATCAGTAGCGGACTCCTGTGTGAAAGCACAACGAGAGTCCGTGCTGCTTCTGCACCGCTTACGTACCGCACACGGACTGCATGCGCACTGCAAACGGAGTATGTGTGAACCTCACATACAGCTCACGAAATCAGGCTTGTGCTGTGTGTACGATTGTAAAAACAAAAATACAGTGCATGATCAGATATTTAGGTGAGATAAATATATATTTTTGAAAAATGTCAAAAAAATGCCCCAGGCCCTGAATGAATTTCTAAAATTCCTGATTGGAGTATCGCTATAAATAATTCTACATGATAAAAAGAAGGTTTTAAAAAGATTGTATCGGCAGATACTGCTTTCTGTGATCGGCCTCAAAAATCCTGATCGGAGCACCCCTAAAAATAAAGATGGCGTCTGAAAGTTGCGTTTGGTGGTCAGTTTCTGTGTAAATGTATATTTCTGACTAACGTTTAACAATTGCACGATTGTAAAAACAAAAATGCAGTGCATGATCAAACATTTAGGTGAGATAAATATATATTTTTGAAAAATGTCAAAAAAATGCCCCAGGCCCTGAATGAATTTCTAAAATTCCTGATTGGAGTATCGCTATAAATAATTCTACATGATAAAAAGAAGGTTTTAAAAAGATTGTATCGGCAGATACTGCTTTCTGTGATCGGCCTCAAAAATCCTGATCGGAGCACCCCTAAAAATAAAGATGGCGTCTGAAAGTTGCGTTTGGTGGTCAGTTTCTGTGTAAATGTATATTTCTGACTAACGTTTTGCACTTTTGATAGTGACGATTGCGCTGAAAAATAAATAGGGGTGCTCCGATTGATCGGCTACCGATCACTATCGGCCGATAGTTGCTTTGGGATGATTGATCGGCGGTCTCTGTAAAGCCGATCTCATGCTGATGACGCTGCCGTCAGAGGTTTGGCGCGACATGCAGCAGCACCGTCTCAGTCTCTGTCCGGCGCGGGTGAAATCATTATAATGCTGAAGGTGAGGTACAATTCATATTTCTTCATTAAATAACACATACAGCTCACGAAATCAGGCTTGTGCTGTGTGTACGATTGTAAAAACAAAAATACAGTGCATGATCAGATATTTAGGTGAGATAAATATATATTTTTGAAAAATGTCAAAAAAATGCCCCAGGCCCTGAATGAATTTCTAAAATTCCTGATTGGAGTATCGCTATAAATAATTCTACATGATAAAAAGAAGGTTTTAAAAAGATTGTATCGGCAGATACTGCTTTCTGTGATCGGCCTCAAAAATCCTGATCGGAGCACCCCTAAAAATAAAGATGGCGTCTGAAAGTTGCGTTTGGTGGTCAGTTTCTGTGTAAATGTATATTTCTGACTAACGTTTTGCACTTTTGATATTATTTCTAGCGAGAAATCAGTATTATAGTAATTAAATATTCGTTTAGATCATTAAACCGTTACGCTGCCTTAGAAGCCTGGCCGTAATCAGTTTCATGAAATACCTTCATGCAAAAACGCTGCCTGCGGTGTCATTGCCTCACAAGGCTTTCGGATGCAGCCAAGGTTTTATCACGATATATAATTAACTGTTTACAGCAGGGTTCCTCAAATCTTACCCTGGAGGGCCAATGCGCTGCAGAGTTTAGCTCCAACCCTGATCAAACTCAGCTACCTGTGATTTTCTAATGATCCTGAAGACATTGATTAGCATGCTCAGGTGTGTTTGATTAGGGTTAGAGCTAAACTCTGCAGGAAAGTGGATCTCGTGGGTCAGATTTGAGGATCCCTGGTTTACAGGGTTTAAACGGTGACGGCAGCGTCAGCGCCCTCTAGTGCCGAGTGTGTGTGTTCATTCAGCGCGTCTCCTTCACTCGTTCCACCTTTCTTCTCATCTGTGCTCATTTAAATTAAATCCTTGCCTTTTTAAAGTTCAATAATCATATGAGGCTGTATCTCTGTTTTTCCATAAATTACTGGAAGAAATTAATACGTTTGTTATAGGCTACTGTGTAAGTTAGGCTGTTTATGAAATTGTATTTGCACTCATGCTCCTAAATACATTTTCCAGTTCGTACACCTCTATTTTTAGTCACAAATGCGAGTGAAATGCTTGCACTGTCGAGCCCTGTGGATGGATTGATTGGATCCACAGCAGTGTTTGATGTTTGGCTTCTTTGCAGTGGATGAGGTTGGGGAAAAGCTAGACATTGGAGACGCACCTTTAAAGATCACCGCAGATGTGGGCCAGGAAGACGATGGCTCGAAAGAGGATGAGTTCAGCTCGGAGGTCATTAAAGTTTACATCTTTAAGGCAGATGGAGATGAAGATGTGGAAATAGGTAAGGAACACATTTCACATCTGTGCCTCAAGCTGATTGCATTAGGGCTGCAACAGACGATTATTTTGATAATCGATTAATCTAACGATTATTAGACCGATTAATCGACTAATCGTTGATTATTTCACTTTCATGAAGTAATGTTTTTCCCCACTAATAAAACTATTTTATCATTAGGTAGCTCCACACTGCAGAGCTGCGTTAAAACAGAAATTCAAGTTGTAATTCTAACTGAAAGTGACACTGACTCTGGTTTTTCATGTTTAATACTATAAAGTAGGGAAGCACCGATACTGGTCTCCTGTACTCGTACTCGTTAAAATGTCCCAATACCAAACGCCGATACCACACAGCATGTGTTAAGCGCCATATTCAAACAAAGAAACACAGACAACAGAACAACAGACAGCAGAATGGAGTTAAGGATGTCTACTACGAAGTATATGTATGCAATGAATATAATGTTAAACATTCAGTATTAACGCCTGTATAGCTGATGTGCGCGAGCTGATGAGCAAAGTACGCTGAGTGGATTGAGCGCACAGCGGCGCAGATGCGCGAGCTTGTCGAGATATTTTTTTTACTAGTGGGTGCAGGACACTATAGTTCATTTATGTAAGTGAGGATAGCAAAATAAAGTAAACTGTGACAAATCATACCCAAAAATTCTTCATACAGTGGACTACCAGTAACATTTATACAAATTTGGGTCTAAAAATTATTCAGACTGAGTCTGGGGAAAAAAACTGAAGTTGAGGTGTGCACGAAGCTGGGTGACAGCATGCGCAGGAGACTACAGGCTGTCACTGAGGCTAAGGGTTGCCCGACAAAGTATTCATTGTTGTGTAAATACTGTCATACTAACAGCTGTCTGAATACTTTTTGGTTGATTGTAATCTATTACATACCTTTCTATCAGAATTATCTAACATTATCAAGCTGAATTTGTTCTGAAACAGTTTAACTCTGAGTTCTTGTCATATTTTATTACCATTTTCTAAACTATAGTGAATAAACTGTGATAATGTGAGAAATGTTGAAGGTGTCTGAATAAATTTTGGTTTGACTATCTATTTGATAAATGAAGTTAACCAACTAACATTATACATACCCTTAGGTTTCTGTACCCAATATTTAAAAAATTTACAAATTTACGGTATCGGCAAGTACCAAAAATAAAAGTATCGGTATCGGGCGAGTACTGGAAAAAGTGGTATTGGTGCATCCCTACTATAAAGCTGCTTGATTTAAGGCTATCTACTGCATAAAGTATAAGTCTATTTAAAAAATCGTGACGTTTACTGGAGTATCGAACTGAAGAGCTCGTGCAAACACCCACTTTGCTGTAATCCGATGCATTCTTAACTGCTGCTTTCTCACCACTGTCAGGTCTTGTTGTGTTTATTTTGTTATTGAGCGCAAAGCACAGCATATATTGACATATTCATCCAAACGCAGCTCAGCAGCTTCCGGTTCGGCTGCGTTTGCTCTGAAGCAAAGTCGTCTTCTCTTGAATTGCATCCAGGAGGGCTGAATTACAGTCTTGCGCTACAGCGCCACACTGGTCAAACCGCATTACTGCAGGCTCTTACATTAGCTCATATGAGATCAAACAACCACTCAACAACAAAAATATTTGTCAACAATCTTTTATTGTCGACGTTGTCGAAAATTGAGTGTTTACTATGGTCCTTTTGCATTATTGACACACTATTTTCCTATTTAATACTGTAAAGCTGCTTTGACACAATCTGTATTGTTAAAAGCACTATATAAATACAGGTGACTTCACTTAATGTCGACTAATTGTTTCAGCCCTAGATTCCATACTGCTACTCGTGCAATGACTATTATTGTTGCTTATTAAGTTTAGGGATTTGAAAGAAACACCAACAGGTACAGTAACCTAGTTAAAGGGATAATTCATTCAAAAAATAAAATTTGCTGTTAATTTACTCAGTCTTAGGCCATCCGAGATGTAGGATGTGACTTTTTCCTCAGTAAAACAGCAAAGAAGATTTTTAGCTGAAACTGTGATCATTGATGATTCATAAAATGCAAGTCAGCGGCTGGCCGTCTTTGAAAATTAACAAAAAGCTTATCTGGGAGCACAATATTAATACCCGTGGCTCCTGAAGATGAGGTCTTATGAAGTGAAACGATCATTGTTTACAACATTATTCCCTGTAATCCAGAGCCTCAGGTAAACGAGGAAATGTTATTCTTTTCCGTGAACTGATTCTTTCAGACAGTTTGTTTCAATTAACTAGATCAGTTCACTAGTTCATTTATGTAATCATGCAATGGCGTCATGTATACTCAATTACACTAAATTAAAGCATCCCGTAATGATGTGAAACGTGGCTGTTTTACATGTCTAAAGCATAAGCTTTCTTTAGCTCAACTTTTTATATAAACCACGGAACCATAAAAACCTTCATCCCCCCCCTTCGGTTCACACACATCAGCGGCTCATCGAGTCGAACTGTTTCCTCAGTTCAGTGACTGTTGAAGGAACTGGAGCGCTGAATCAGTTCATTCATCTGAGGATCAGATCTGCTGGTATTTTGGCAGACTTTCAGGCGTCTGAAAGTGAGTTTTGATTGAGTAACTTGTAGATCTGTGCTGCTCAAGCCACAAACAGTTTCAGACGCTTCAGTTTGATTTGGTGAACTGGTTCAAGCAAAACAGTTTAAAAGAATGATTAGTTTGCGAACCGGACATCACTCCGGAACGTTTGCCTGAGGCTCTGGATTACAGTAATATGTTGTAAATAGTGTTCAGTTCTGAACATTTCACTTCATAAGTCCTCCATATATCGTCAGGAGCCACGGGGATTCATTTTGTGTTTCCTGTATATGCTTTTTTGACTCTCAAAGTGACGGTAATGACTCTGTGTGGATTGTGTTGTAGGCAGCACAGAGGTGGTGGCAGAGAGTGATTTTCCCAACGGGCACATGGTGCTGGAGCCGGCGGGTTCAGGCAGGCTGCCCAGAGAGAAGATGGTCTACATGGCTGTAAAGGACGTCAGCCAAGGAGAGGAGGATATCAGTGAGTTCTCCATCTTTCTTTAAGAAGAGTAACAGGTGCATGCAGCAACTCAGAAATGTGTGTTATGTTTATGCTGTTCTCTGTCCTGAATGCAGACTGTTCGGAGATGACTGACCAGGTGTATATGGAGGTCATAGTTGGGGAGGAAGAAGCTCCTGCTATGACTGAAGCGCAGCTGGAGGACACACCGGTTAACAAGACCTTTGTTCCTGCCACCTGGGCGACTGCTTATGGTCCTTCACTTTATTTATATTGCAGGCAGAGATAGAAATTGCTTTATATGAATAGTCCACCAAAATTGAAAATTCTAGCTGAACTCAGTGTAGCATAATCGTATCATACTCTATGGCAGGGGTGGCGAACTCCGGTCCTGGAGAGCCTCAGCCCTGCAGAGTACAGCTCCAACCCTAATTAAAACTCACCTGCCTGTAGCTTTCTGGTAACCTTTCAGACCTTGATTAGCTTGTTCAGGTGTGTTTGATTAGGGTTGAAGCAAAACTGTGCAGGGCTGCGGCTCTCCAGGACTGACGTTCGCCACCCCTGCTCTATGGTATGGTACTCCAAATATGACTATATTCAAAGTCTTGTGAAGCCATATGATAGCTCAGGGTTAGGTTTCAGCCGAATCCTTTTGACTAAATTCCTGGCGAATGTCAAGAAAATATTTAAGTAAAAATTTCAATAATTTAACAATACATTGTATGGTTCTCTGATGATTGTTAATAGTCACAAGACATTACAGGAAAACAATTTTGTTTAGTTATTATCTTATTTTGATTGTTTTTATATTAAGTATTTAGTATAGGGCTGCACAATTTGGTCATAAATTATATTGTGATTTATATATATTTTTTATAATCACAAGATAATATACTGCTAATTAAAATAGTGTCTTTTGAGAATGTTCACTTTCAATCTTAAAAAATAAAAAAAAAACTTTTAGACTAAAAAAAGCTAACAAACAGAAATAGTGTTTGCATCGTCTTTGTAGCTTTACTTTAAAGTGAAACGCAGCACATCAGACTGAATCACAGCCTTTTGCAATTTGATATATTTATTGCAATCCTATTTATTTTCATTTAAAATTTTTACCACTGAATTATTAGGTTTGCAAACTCACAACTGGGAAACCCTGCAAAAACTGATGACAGAAATTTCATTTTTGGCTCTCGGTCACTATTGGTCATTTAACTTAACGTTTATAGAAACATTCTCCTTTCCTTTTAGTGTATTTATAGCGTGTAAATGTCCAATCCAAACTCCTTACCAGTCATGGCTTTCCCACAGGAAGCAGTTTTGAATGTAAGAATGGTGCAGCCACTCCCTACCTACAGATCACTGACAGCATCAGCACAAGCCGAGCACTTAAACAAAAGATCAAGAAGAAGAGGAGAGGAGAGACACGCCAGTGCCAGACAGGTATGATCTGCTGCTAGTGCTAGAAAGTTTTTAAATGTACATTAACTTAAATTGACCACATATGTTCCTGGGCTCATCAGTGTATGCTATTTCAAAAAGAGAGAAACAAAATTGTCTTCCTAATATTTCATCTTTCACCGTGTCAATTTCACTGTATGACTTTTTTCTGACTTTTTTTTGCCATTGTTTTTAGACTACCATTGTAGGTAATGCAATCTTTATAAAAAGCTGACAAAAAGTAATGCTGTAATTTAACTCTTAAGTATTGACATTAACGATGTATTATTTCTTCCCCTTTAAATGTGTTTTTCAATCTTATGCATTTATTCAAAAATAAAACAAAAACAAACAAACAAACAAAAACTAATATTATTTATGTGTCATGTAGGAGGGAATGATATGCTAGTAGACACGATAAACTGAATGAATTTAACACCCAGTGTACTGTACATTGTGTTTAATCATCTTTAGCACAGTTCTCCCTTTAATGCATTTTTAAGCTTTGGCAATTTAAATTTTAAAGCAATCTTGAACAGTTCAAGCACAGTAAGACACAGTTGAGACATCAGTTTGGTCATAACCTTATTTCCATAACAGTCTTGTGGTATATATCATTATCAGCTAGAAGACTGAAACTTTGTGTTCATGTCACACAGAAACAAAAATTGCAGTCAAATTCTTGCATGTTGTGAGAAATTGTAAATGTTTTACTTTCAAACTTGGTGTTATGATACATTTCAGAATTTTTGCTTCTGTTATATGAAGTTTAACTGTGATTTAATTCCTTTCCTTAAACGGGTGGTTGATTGTGATTCCACTTTTTTAACTTTAGTTTGTGTGTAATGTTGCTGTTTGAGTATAAACAATATCTGTAAAGTTACGGTGCTGAAAGTTCAATGGAAATGGAGATATTGTCTTTTAAGGAAAAGCCTGTTTAATGCCTACAATTACAACTGGTAGGGACTACAACAAGCTACTTCCCGGGCTGGTGACATCACAAACCATGCAATTAACATAAACCCCGCCCCCGGGAACACGCAACAAAGGGGGCGAGGCTATGTTGCGCAACTTTTCCAACGGAGCACATGGAACTGTGATTTAATTCCTTTCCTTAAACGGGTGGTTGATTGTGATTCCACTTTTTTAACTTTAGTTTGTGTGTAATGTTGCTGTTTGAGTATAAACAATATCTGTAAAGTTACGGTGCTGAAAGTTCAATGGAAATGGAGATATTGTCTTTTAAGGAAAAGCCTGTTTAATGCCTACAATTACAACTGGTAGGGACTACAACAAGCTACTTCCCGGCTGGTGACATCACAAACCATGCAATTAACATAAACCCCGCCCCCGGGAACACGCAACAAAGGGGGCGAGGCTATGTTGCGCAACTTTTCCAACGGCGCACATGCAACTATTGCCCGTAATGATACGGGGAGTGACGAATCACTAACAATACACTGGGCCAGCTAACCAATCTGAGCCCTTTGCGTATTTAAGAGGGAGTGGTATCATAGAAACAGGAAGTCAACCGGCCGTTCACACCGAAGACAGCGGCGTAGAATAAAGGTAACATATATGAAAAATAAGGTGGTTTTATAAAAACGAAGCATGAAATCATGTTACACTGCACCCCATAAACACAATCAAGCCTAGAGGAAAACCAGTGAACCACCCCTTTAAATCTGAACAACTGTCGCAATTTTGCTGCACTAGGTGTCTGAGAATTAATGTTCATGTAATAGAGCAATAATAGCAAATAATAATATGTAAAAAAACAAACAAAAAAAGAAGTTCTTGAAGGGGTCATCAGATGCCCATTTTCCTCAAGTTGGTATGATTCTTTAGGGTCTTCATGAAAAGTCTATAACATACTTTGGTTAAAATTTCTCTATGGTAGTGTAAACAAAAAAAAAAAACTTTTTACCTTGCTAAAAACAGCTCTGCTCACAGCGAGCTGTTTTGGTGCATATCCCTTTAAATGCTAATGAGCTCTTCTGACCCCACCCCTCTCTTTCGTGGAGTGACGAGCCGTTCTCTGAGACTGTAAACTTTAGCCGCGTTCCTTGTAGAACTTGCTAATTGATTCGCGCAAACATAGACGCATTTAGGTAGATCGGGGGCGCATTCCCTTCAAAAACAAATATAATCCACTCAGTCTTCAGTGGCTCAGATGTCGGGAGTAAATGACATTATTATTACATCCAACAACAGAACACCTCAATCGCTTAGGAGTCATTCTCGTCTACTCCTGCTCCAGCGTCGAAACAATGGCGGACTGATGACAGCTCACTCAGGGCGGGTCTAAGGGAAAACGCCAGTGTCAATCAACAATCGTGGGAGGGGCCTGGGTCTGTGACGTCACACAGCCAAGTATCTGAGAAAGGGGTTATGATTTATGGGGATTTAAAAAAAAAAAAAAACACTGGGTGGATTTTTGTCATTATAGGGTGGATGTGTACACTAGGGGTGTGAATCGGTACTGGTTTCACGATTCAATTTGATTATGATTATCATGTCAGCGATTTGATTCAATTCAATATCATGATGCATCACGATTGTATCATTTATTTTGTGCAGTTTTATTAAATTATATAAGCAGGATCATTTTTTTAATAATTACGTTAATTATTGTTAAGAATTAAAGTAAATATGGCTTCAAAACATACAAAAAAATATATAGTAATAAAGGGGGAAAAAGACAATTACAAGTGATACTTTCAACATCTAAGAGTGCTTTTAAGTATCCGAAAGTTTACAGATAATCATAGTTATGGGTTTTTCATTTTTCCTCATTCCGCATTATTGCTGTTTGATTATTACTGATGAGATCATCAATAATAGCAAATAATAATATGTAAAAAAACAAACAAAAAAAGAAGTTCTTGAAGGGGTCATCAGATGCCCATTTTCCTCAAGTTGGTATGATTCTTTAGGGTCTTCATGAAAAGTCTATAACATACTTTGGTTAAAATTTCTCTATGGTAGTGTAAACAAAAAAAAAAAACTTTTTACCTTGCTAAAAACAGCTCTGCTCACAGCGAGCTGTTTTGGTGCATATCCCTTTAAATGCTAATGAGCTCTTCTGACCCCACCCCTCTCTTTCGTGGAGTGACGAGCCGTTCTCTGAGACTGTAAACTTTAGCCGCGTTCCTTGTAGAACTTGCTAATTGATTCGCGCAAACATAGACGCATTTAGGTAGATCGGGGGCGCATTCCCTTCAAAAACAAATGTAATCCACTGCGTCTTCAGATGTCAGGAGTAAATGATGACTGCTATGTTCATTATTGCATCCAACAACAAAACACCTCAGTCGCTTAGGAGACAATCTTGTCTACCCCTGGTCTGGTGTCGAAACAATGGCGGACTGTTTCCAGCTCACTCAGGGCGGGTCTACATTATAAAACGGCCGCATCAGTCAATAGTCATGGGAGGGGCCTGTGCAGAACTACGTCACTCTGCCAAGAATCTCAGAACAGCCTGATCTGAGAAAGTGATCATTATTATTGGGGATTTAAAAAAGCACTGGGTGGATTTTTGTCATTATAGGGTGGATGTGTACACTAGGGGTGTGAATCGGTACTGGTTTCACGATTCAATTTGATTATGATTATCATGTCAGCGATTTGATTCAATTCAATATCATGATGCATCACGATTGTATCATTTATTTTGTGCAGTTTTATTAAATTATATAAGCAGGATCATTTTTTTAATAATTACGTTAATTATTGTTAAGAATTAAAGTAAATATGGCTTCAAAACATACAAAAAAATATATAGTAATAAAGGGGGAAAAAGACAATTACAAGTGATACTTTCAACATCTAAGAGTGCTTTTAAGTATCCGAAAGTTTACAGATAATCATAGTTATGGGTTTTTCATTTTTCCTCATTCCGCATTATTGCTGTTTGATTATTACTGATGAGATCATAGACAGTGGCAGCTTTAATAGGCTGCATTCACACTAATGCACAGAACAAGGAAACATTGTCAAGCGATACGCACGTGTCTGAAGCCTGCCGCGATTGCCTCTAGCGCACACACGTGCCATTTCCAGCAAAAGCAAAGCTCAGATTTAAAAGTAGAGAGTGCATTTTTAATACAAGCCCGTATGAGAATGACGTCAGTAGCCTATAATCAATTATGGTCTATTACTGCATCGATGCAGAATCGTCCGCGTCGCGATGCAATGATTAATTTCAACACCCTTAGTGTGCACACTGCCAACACACATTTCACTTCAAACACCATGTAAAAGTGAATTTTGCATCCGATGACCCCTTTGATGGTGAAGTTGACCCCCTCAGTCTGGTCATAAAGCCTCCTTAAAAGTGGATGTTTAAAAGGGAAGTTGTCCTTTTTTTTCTTTTCTTTTTTTTTTTTCTTTTTTTTTTTTCTTTTTTTTTTTTCTTTTTTTTTTTTCTTGTTGGTTATGCTTTCTCACAACAGAAGTCTATGTTCAGCATGCTCTCCTTCTGTTTCAGCTGTGATCATCGGTCCTGACGGGCAGCCCCTGACCGTCTACCCCTGCCACATCTGCGGCAAGAAGTTCAAATCACGTGGTTTCCTGAAGCGCCACATGAAGAATCACCCGGACCACATGTTCAAGAAGAAGTACCAGTGCACCGACTGCGACTTCACCACCAACAAGAAGGTGAGTTTCCACAACCACCTGGAGAGCCACAAGCTGATCATCAAGAGCGAGAAGATCCCGGAGTACACAGAGTACACGCGGCGCTATCACGAGGCCAGCCCGCTCAACTCCAACAAGCTCATCCTGCGTGACAAAGAGCCCAAGCTGCACAAGTGCAAGTACTGCGAGTACGAGACGGCCGAGCAGGGCCTCCTCAACCGCCACCTGCTGGCTGTGCACAGCAAAAACTTTGCGCACGTCTGCGTCGAGTGCGCCAAGGGCTTCCGGCACCCGTCGGAGCTCAAGAAACACATGCGGACGCACACGGGCGAGAAGCCCTACCATTGCCAGCACTGCGACTTCAGCTGTGCCGACCAGTCCAACCTAAAGACTCACATAAAGAGCAAACACGGCACTGACCTGCCCTTCAAGTGTGGCCACTGCCCGCAAGCCTTCGCCGAGGACAAGGAGCTCCAGAGACACACGGAGATCTTCCAGGGCCATAAGACTCACCAGTGTCCGCACTGCGAACACAAAAGCACCAACTCCAGCGACCTGAAGCGTCACGTCATCTCGGTGCACACCAAAGACTTCCCGCACAAGTGCGACGTCTGCGAGAAGGGCTTCCACAGACCCTCCGAACTGAAGAAGCACGCCGAAACACACAAGGGGAATAAAGTGCACCAGTGCCGGCACTGCGATTTTAAGACGTCAGACCCCTTCACGCTGAGCCGCCACATTCTGTCCGTTCACACCAAGGACTTGCCGTTTAAGTGCAAGCGCTGCAAGCGTGGATTCAGGCATCAGAACGAACTTAAGAAGCACATGAAGACTCACAGCGGTCGCAAGGTCTATCAGTGCCAATTTTGCGAGTACAACACTACGGACGCTTCGGGTTTCAAACGGCACGTCATATCCATCCACACTAAAGACTATCCGCACAGGTGTGACTATTGCAAGAAGGGTTTCCGTCGGCCGTCGGAAAAGAATCAACACATAATGCGGCATCACAAAGAAACCCTGCTATAACGCTCTTTCTTTCTGCTCCACAGCTACACGTCTCATTTATGGCCCTCTTATTTAATGCAATGGTTCTCAACTCCAGTCCTCGGGACCCACTGCTCTGCACATTTTAATGCACTCTTAAAAATAAAGGTGCTTAAAAGGTTCTTCACAGCGATGCCATAGAAGAAACATTTTTAGTTCTACAAAGAAAGGTTCTTTAAAGAACCATCTCTTTCTTACCTTTTTATAATCTGAAGAACCTTCTTTCTTCACAAGGTTCCATAAAGAACCTTTAACATCTGCAGAAACTTTGTTTCACAAAAGCTTCTTTGTGGCGAAAGAAGGTTCTTCAGATGTTAAAGGTTCTTTATGGAACCATTTAGACAAAAAAGGTTCTTCTATGGCATCGTGAAGCACCTTTATTTTTAAGAGTGTATGTCTCCCTTATTTAACGCACCTGATTCAGATCATCAGCCGGTTTAGGAGAGAGATCCATGAACTGAACTGAGTGTGTCAGATAGGAGAAACATACAAAATGTGCAGAGCAGTGGGTCCCGAGGACTGGAGTTGAGAACCACTGATTTATGTGTGTAAAGAAACGAAAATCGCAGTCGAGGCGGGAAAAAGTGGCTAACAGTATGGTCTTGGTCAAAATGATCATGTCACACCTCTCACGGTCTTTGAAGAAAACAGTCATTCAGGGTCTCAGATGCCTATATTTTTATACCCACTTTGCATAGAAATAGTTCACCCAAAAATTAAAATGTACTCGTTCTCATGTTGTTCCAAACATGTTCTCTAGAGGATAAAATAACGTTCTTTCATTAACTAATAGCATCTACTGACCAGTGTCCGTCACGCTTCAAAAAGGATGAAAAAGCACCATAAAAGTAGACTTTGTGCACTTTTTGTGTTCATTTTGGACTTTGAGAGCTTCTGGTCACTGTGAACTTTTGAATGGAAAAAGCAGCACAGTGATTTTGTGCTCCATGGAAGAAAATTACATGGGTTTGGAATGACGTGAGGGCGAGTAAATGATAACATATTTTTATACCCACTTTGCATAGAAATAGTTCACCCAAAAATTAAAATGTACTCGTTCTCATGTTGTTCCAAACATGTTCTCTAGAGGATAAAATAACGTTCTTTCATTAACTAATAGCATCTACTGACCAGTGTCCGTCACGCTTCAAAAAGGATGAAAAAGCACCATAAAAGTAGACTTTGTGCACTTTTTGTGTTCATTTTGGACTTTGAGAGCTTCTGGTCACTGAACTTTTGAATGGAAAAAGCAGCACAGTGATTTTGTGCTCCATGGAAGAAAATTACATGGGTTTGGAATGATGTGAGGGCGAGTAAATGATAACCGTTTTCTTTTATGGCTGATATATTCCTGGTCTGAGCATCGTCATAGGCCTTAGTCAGGATAGACGACATTCACAAAATGAGGCTAAACGTACAGTCTTTATAATGGCGTGCGCTTATAAACCTAGATCGCATGTCATTTGAAAGCTGTTTAATGAAGTTTTTGGTCTACTGAAAGACGTTTCATCAGCTGTACAAGCGGTATGTTGTTAAACAACATTACAGTCTACTGATTCCTCACTAATTAAATCCGGCGCTGTCCTGACTAAAGTCTATGGGGACAGACACTTTCCTTTTCTCTCCAAAGTCATTCAATCATTAGATGTATTTTACCAGTATGTCCAGGTTTTACTGTACCTTTTACCGTTTTATACCCATCATGATGTTACTTTGAGCAGTTCTGTTGTGGTATCTGAAACTCTATGATTTAAACCAGTGCATTTTTCCAGCATCTGCTCTCTGCGATCCCGGTGTCTTCGGCGTTCCTCACCTTTGTGAATACCACTACCAAATTCAATGCTTGTGTAAAATGAAACGATAACACGGCGAACGTGCACATACTGCCAAGTATTTCTGATCTCTCGAGTCATGCCTTACATGGTTTGTTTGTTTTTTGCACTGAATTAAGTATGAATCGATTGTGAATATTTTTAACAAGTTTGTTACGCTATAATAGATGTATACATTAACAAATGCAAATCACATTAAGAGCACCCTTTGCTTTTATAATGTCACTTTAAGTTATTTATTTTTTAGCGGGTGGGCAAACGTAGACACGACATCCTAAAGCATCCTTCAGCCCCTTCCCAGCAGTACTTGCGTGTAAAAAAACCTCAGCGATTCATGCCTGTTGATCTGCGTAGCTATGACTGGTTCACAGCAGCTCTCAGGGTGGATTTGGAGGGGCGCTACTTCCTGTCAGTCATGTTTTTGTCAGACATCCTAATCTGTAATGCGCACTCCCAACGTCATCGTGTAAAAACCTTCGTTATTTGCTCCGTTTCCGGAGAAAAAGTCTTTTAAAGGAACACTCCAGTATTTTCGAAAATAGGCTCATTTTCCAACTCCCCTAGAGTTAAACGGTTGAGTTTTAACGTTTTCGAATCCATTCAGCCGATCTCCGGGTCTGGCGGTAGCACTTTTAGCTGTAGCTTAGCATAGATCATTGAATCTGATTAGACCGTTAGCATCTCGCTCAAAAATGACTGTTTTTCTATATTTTTCCTATTTAAAACTTGACTCTTCTGTAGTTACATCGTGTACTAAGACCGACGGAAAATGAAAAGTTGTGATTTTCTTGGCCGATATAGCTAGGAACTATACTCTCATTCCGGCGTAATAATCAAGGAACTTTGCTGCCCCCATGGTACTTTGGCCATTTTTGAGCGAGATGCTAACGGTCTAATCGGATTCAATGATCTATGCTAAGCTAAAAGTGCTACCGCCAGACCCGGAGATCGGCTGAATGGATTCGAAAACGGTAAAACTCAACTGTTTAACTCTAGGGGAGTTGGAAAATGAGCCTATTTTCGAAAATACTGGAGTGTTCCTTTAAGACGTCGCAATGAAATTGAAAGAGTGGGTGATTTGCAACCGCTTGAAAAGGTTCAGTTCACAATAATTCAGATTCCAAATTACAAGACGTCACTTCTAGTTGGTTCATCATCTGGACAGATGGAAATCTCACTGAAGTTACAGCGTAAATGGATGTAGTAGATTTTGCTTTATTCATAGTTTAATTGGTTGTATTAAATTAAAACGGTGTTTAATTGATCAAGTGCTTTCAAAGTAATCATACGTTTGATCCCTGGACTCAATCACATGAATCACTCTCATTCATGAACCACAAGGAGAACTGTGTGTAAATAATAACCATTCTTGCGTAAATCAAGACGCAACCGTTCACGTGATCGTTTATGGAGGACTCACAGATTCGTTCGGCTGGTGTTTTGTGAATGAGGTTTGTGGCTCTTGAAATCTTCAGGCCTGTGCGAGTGTTCGTTTGGCAGACTTATGAAAAGTATGCCAGCGGTCTAGATATAGCTGTGTTTGTTACAGTTGCGGTTGGAGACTCTTAACAATCTTCATGCATTTCAGTTATTCTCTGATAGGTGGACTACTGGTAAGAAGGAATCAAAATACTTCTTTCGAAAAGCTTTTTTTGTTTTCAGAAATGGTTTCACACTCAGGTATTTCCTTGACGTTTAGCAAATAGCACTTTTCAGATGTAAGAAATTAATACAGTCTAAATAAATAATTCAAGGAAAATCATTTTAATCCGCTTATAAGTGTTGTATTGTGCCATTAAAGTGTGTAATTACACATACTGTATTCTGTTACTGTGTGCGTCTCAATCACTTCCCTAGTTCAGTTAGGGCACTCATCAGGGGCTTTCTCAATCACAGAATCATTCTGGAATATTAAGTCCCTAAAAATCCCACAATTCACCACAAAAATCAGGGCACTCACTATGTTCCCTTAACAGAAATTTTAATAAACAAAACACAAATTGCATGAGCCTACTCAATATATCATTCGGTAGAAGATTTAAGGTAACAAATCAGGGCACTCACTATGTTCCCTTAACAGAAATTTTAATAAACAAAACACAAATTGCATGAGCCTACTCAATCAATATATCATTCGGTAGATGATTTAAGGTAACACTTTATTTTAATAGTCCACTTTAGAAATTCTACTAACAGTAAGTAACTTTGCAACTCCATGTCAAGTAGCAGTCATTAGAGTATTAGTAGACTGCTCAATATCTTGTAACACTTTATTTTGATGGGTCCACAGCATACTGACTGCAACTCCATGTCAACTAGCAGTCATTAGAGTATTAGTAGACTGCTCAATATCTTGTAACACTTTATTTTGATGGGTCCACAGCATACTGACTGTCAACTTATTCTACTAAACCTAACCTAACAGTCTACTCTGAGAGTTAGTAGACATGCAGTTGCATATTAATGAGAATTAGTTGACATGGAGTTGCAAAGTTACTTATAGTTAGTTAGTAGAATGTCTAAAGGGGACTATCAAAAATAAAGTGTAACCAGATTTAAAGACACGCTTCTGTTTAATTAGACTGTTTCTGCAGGTCTCCAAATGTCTCATTCGCCCTTCCTCAATCGAGTCGAAAATCTTTATATTAATTGCATTAAATGTCACATGCACAAAGACGTTCACACTTATAGAAGAATGGCTTTATAAAGGTAAAATGCCCATAAAAGGTAAAAATCTATTTAAACTTATTGGAAAAGATTAATTTCTATCTGACCACCACACAGAATATGATAAACTTTAGGAGTCAGCTGTCCACGAAAGTCCTTAAGATAGCAGCATGATAACACTTAATCAGTTGAATGAATGACTCAATACTCACTCATTCAGTGTCTTACCGTCACTTGCTGGTAGTTCAGTTGAGAAGTGTGTTGAAAAGTATGCATCCCCCAACATTTCTTATTTGTATACTCATAAATGCACTTAAAACATTGATCTCATAACATTATTTATTGCAGTTGTAATTATTGTTATTTGCGGTGTACATTATTTAATCTGACTGGTAGCAGCCCTATAGTGTATATTGAATTTATTGATAAATTGTAATAATTTGGTTAAAAATAGGCCTTTGTAAAGGTAAATATGCAGATTTAAGTATGTAAAAGCTGATAGAACACTGATGAAAATATTGCTTCAGAAAAAAATGTTTATACTCCACCAAAAATCTCAGTGCTGCAGTTATTTTGCAGGGATAT